GGTCGCTGAGCTGTATTTGGTGGGGCGGTGCCCCCCCTGGCTTCCCCAACCTCCGGGAAACTGCCCAACTCGGCTGGCCCCGGATTTGGGGAGGGCAGGAGCACAACTCTCCCCGGGTCCCAGTGCTGCACGCCCTGAGGCGGCCGTGAACCCTGCCTGGCTGAGCGGGGCCTGGGCTTCCCTAAATGCCCGGCCCTGAGCCCCAACTGATCGCCCTTTCTGGTGGATTAGGAGTTAACAGAGGTGGCCGGGGATTCCCATCTGGGTGAAATGTATGCCTCTCAGCCATTTAATTCAGGAGCCTCGGTGGCAGCATGGCTAAACGTTGGATTAACCTCAAGGTGAGCGGTTCAAACCCACAACCTGAATGAGAAAGATGAAGCTGTATGTTCCCTAAAGATTTATAGTCTTGGAAGCCCCAGGGAGCAGTTCCACTGTGTCCTATAGGGCCCAGGAGGAAGGGGAATCGACTGTTAGTAACTCAACTGAGCTAGGGGGCTTCCCCCTCTCTCTAGCCTGGGGTCTTTCCAGATAGAGAGCCACAAGGTCGTTATGAGATGAACTATTCTAAAAAGGATGACTTTTTACATTTTACAAAGTCCTATCCTTAGGAGCTGCTAACATTGATGGCTGTATAACACCACGCGATGGGATGGAACAGCAGAACGGTATATAAGTGGATTATGTAAGATATGGCAAACTATTATAGAAAAAAAATATATATATATATGGAATAAGGGTTCCTGGGGGCTATAATGGGCCGGGAGGGGATAAAGGGGAGCTGTTATCAAGGATTTCAAAAGAAAGAAAATGTTTTGAAATTGATTGTGGTAGTAATTGTACAACATTGCTTGAATGAACTATGTTATGATATCTATAAGAACTCCCAATAAAAGGATTAAAAATTTTTAAGTTATTTGCTTATTATTTCAATGTACTTTAAAAATATCTTCCTAAATCAGCCTTATTTGATGAACCCATAGACATGTTTTCAGTGATAAGGGGATGCATGTGGGGGGGCGGGTGTCAACGAATTTTATTCATCCACATACAAGAAGGAAAAAGAACAAAGTTGCCATATATGTGTTTTTAGTTCTCTACCAGTGAACCGTCTATTAAAATGAACAGTCGCCCTGAAAGTGACCTGTAAGCACCAGTCATGTACACCTTTGTGTGTATGGACTTATTTCAATCACACTACTTCCCCAACAGAGACCCTGTGAAGGTTTGGAACCTTCAGCTCTTCTACAGCAAGCAGGCTACAGGCGAAGTTTCACTAAGCGGGAGAAGAGAAGGGTTAAAAGAGAAAAGATGCATCTATTATAGCTACGTGTTCTTGCATTATCTCCCTACAGCTCCGAGACACCTTTCTAAAGCAGCCAGTACTTTTGAAAATACATGTCTTGTTGTGGTGTGTTAGGATGAAAGCTTGTCGAACAGGTGAGCTTTCCATTCAACAATTTGTACACATTGTGATTCTTGACACTAGTTGCAATCCTTTCCCTGTGTCGGCACTTCTCCCACTTCCTCCCTGGGTTCCCCTTTGTCCATCTCCCTTATTCCCTGCCCCTTTCTGCCAGCTGACCTTAGTGTGGGGCAAATGCTGTCCTTTGGGGCCCCAGTGACAGGTCTTCTAAAGAGTCTGTTCCTGGAGGGTGTTCCTGTCCACTTTACAGGCCTGTCTATTCTTTGGCTTGACTAGCCGGTACGATTGCATATCTGAGTGACCAAGAACATAGCCAAGGGTTTGAAAGAGAAAGGTGGCAGTTCGTGAAACACTCTGCTCGACTTTATGCAATTTTGTTAAAGACTCGCTTTTAGGCTCACCCATTTGTGGACTGATGGAGGGAACACTATGACCAGAGGGGAGGAGAGGAGGACTCGGTTCATGAGTCATCTATTAAGTTCCCAGGCCAAAAAAAAAAAGTTTGCATTCTTATGTTGCTCACATAACCCCTTTACAAAGTTGTGTGTTTCTCCCATGTGCTTCAACAATTCTCTCTAGTGTAGCACATTGGAAAGGCAGTTCAGTGCTCATGCCTTCATCCCAGTCACAAGACCACTCGATGGCGACTGTTGTTAAGTGCCACCAAGTAGATTCCAACTCAGGATGACCCTGTGTCCCGCAGAAAATGACACTGCCCAGTCCTGCACCCTCCTCATACTCATTCTTGGGCTTGAGCCCCTGTTGTAGTCACTGTGTCAATTCTCACTGCGAGGCTTCCTCTCTTTACTACCCCTCTCCTTGCCGAGCCTGAGGTCCCTCTTCAGACACTGGTTCTCCCCTAACAGCATGTCCAAGGTGCCGCAGACAAAGTGCGCCATCCTCCCTTACACAAAGCCTTTTAGCTGTACTGCCAAGACAGGCTTGTTTGTTATTCTGCCAGTCCATGGTATGTTCAATATTCTTCATCAATACTACAATCGAAAGACAACAGTTCTTCTCCAGTTTGCCTTATTCATTGCCCACTCAGACTTTTAAACACTTGAAAGAGGTCTTTTGCGGCAAATTTGCCCAATGAAATACACTCTTTGATCTCTTGACTACTGCTTCCGTGGGCTGAGTGTACTCCAGTAACAGGACGTATAACTTCTGTGTAAGTGGGTATTAGGTTGAGTTCGCTAGAGAAGCAAAACCAGGTAAGCATGTATATTTATAAATATATTGAGAGAAATGTATTTCAAGGAACTATCTCGTGCCATAGTAGAAGCTGGCAAATCTGTGGTCAGATGCCAGGCTTCAGCATTGTCTAGACTCACTTGGTTATGGGGGCTGATACACCCCAAATTGGCAGGTCAGATGGCAGGCTGTGGGCTCATGTCCCCAAAAACCAGAGGTCAGAGGATGATAAGTCAGAGGCAAGGTCAGGAGAAAGTGACCTTTCCCTGAATATACACAGCAAAACATACACCAGTTTCACACTTTGTACACGGACCAGGTGGAGACGTGGATTACATTCTTCAAGGTGTGTAACTTTTCTGAGCTCTTGCTCTCTCATTAACATAAATCTATTGACCCCTAAAGGTCCTATCGTCTTTCCAATTGATGTTATCAATTTGATCCCATATAGGAGGGAGCTTCACAATATTTGGGAGAAAATCCCATTTTCTTTTAATTCCATTTTTCCATAACTTTTTGAATCCCTCTCCAAGATTCTAGATTTTCCTATGTAAGAATCCAAATATTTTACATACAAGTGTAAACACACAACATTAAAATAAAAAAACCCACTGCCATTAAGTCAATTCCAACTCATAACGACCCAATGTAGAATTTCTGAGACTTTATATCTTTATAGGAATACACAACCTCATCTTTCTTTCACGATAATGGCTGGTGTGTTTGAACTGCTGACCTTGCAGTTAGCAGCCTAAAACCTAACCCACAGCACCACCAAGACTCCTTAAAAGACAAAAGAAGAACTCTATTTTCTTTTTGCCGTATAATGTTTAACATATACTGTAAATGATACAGGGTTGATATTCTTAGAAAATTTGTTAAGGATTTGTTCAAATTTATAAGCTGACTAAAAAAAAAATTTATAAGCTGACTATCTCAACAGAAAAAATAAGTAAAGGAAATGATGAACAATTCATGAGAGGAGAAATATAAATGACTTATAAGTATATTAAAATATTCACTTAGTCATCCACAGATGAACAGATAAAAAAATGGTACCTACTACTCCACCAGTGAGAGAAAGCCAGTCTTGCCACGTCTGCATGAGGAGCCCTGGGGGCAGAGTGGGTTATGGACTGGGCTGTTAAGTTCAAAACCACCAGCCCCTCCTCAGGAGAAAGACCAGGCTTTCTATTCTCATGAAGATGTATAGTTTTGGAAACCCACAGAGCAGAATGGTTCAAGGCCAGTTACCGTAATTTGGTCTGGGGTTTGGTAGCATGGATGGAGTTTGAGGACATTAAGCTCACTGCTATCAAGTTCATTCTGACTGAGAGTGACCCTGTGGGACAGAGCAGAACTGCCCCTGTGGGTTTCTGAGATTGTCACTCTTCATGGGAGTAGAAAGCCCGTCCGTTTCCAGAGAAATGGCTGCTGGTTTCCAACTGCTGACCTTGCCGTTAGCAGCTCAACACGTTACTATTAGACCACCAGGGCAGGGCCCCTCTGGAAGACAAGCTGGGAACAAAAGGATGGATACTTTTTTTTTCGGGGGTGGGGGTGGTGGTGGTGTCAAATATAATTTGTATTTGACCACGTTTATATAAGCAGAAAAGGCAAATGTATACAGAACAAGACTTATTAGAGACTTCCAGAAGTGGGAGAAGCCCTGGGGAATTGACTGAACTGCAAGGTTAGTCCATTGGACCCGCTAGTCACTCCCAAGGGGAAAAAGTAGGCAGTCTGCTTCAGGCCTTAGAAACCCTACTCTGTCCTGTAGGAACGAAGTTGCCTCAAGGCAGTGGTGGTTTGTTTGTGTTTTTGTTTTTGATTGGGGGTGAGAGAAGTTAACAGCA